CCCACCTAAGCCAAATTCCGTGATGCATTTCTCTTTTCCTAATGAATTCTCAGACGAAGTGTTAATGTATAATCGTGTCTAATCTAGCAAAGTTTCATTGCTATTTGCTATTGCTAAATACTCTATTTTAGACGAAGATGCGCGCAGTGTAGCATTCAACAGTCATGATCACTTAAGTGATTGAAATTGATGGATGATAGGTAATTGATTGGGATGATTGGTGGTTTGTGATGACGAAATGAGAACAAAAAAGTCCATAAACGATCATTCAGAAGAAGTGACAATCCATCACGACAACAACTCAAGTCATGCGTCTCGATGCACATTAATTACATCATTTTTAATTTTTTGACAGCTATTTCTTTGGAGTGTCCTCTCAACTCTTCTCATGTTATCAAAACACTCTTCACATTTTTGCCGTCACTGACTGATTTTCGTTGTTCTTCTATCAAACTAGTTGATAATTCGGTGTTTCCCCATCTAAGCCAACCCCTGTGATGCACTTCTCTTTTCCCAATGAATACTCAGCATGCAATGATAGAACTAACTTCCTTTTTCAATCTCGTCTATGATCAGTACTGTACGTATCTCACATAATAGCTGTCTAATTAATTGGATTGTTGATTACCAATTAACAGTAATTATTGCTTTCATCAGTAATCTTACTCAGTGTTGATTACAGTTATGAGGGGATGCCAATGAACCACTGATCGTTTGATCAGTGATCCGTGAAAATGAATAAAAGCGAGATCACAAGGGTCTGACCTTAGTGGTCGCCTGACATAGACCGTTCACCGCAGTTACGTCGAAGAGAACAAACCAGTTCTTGTGAAGCCCTCCTCCTTGCTCACTACATATAGGGCATCCCTGATCATCCAAAGTCATTGCATCGTCACCTCACAGTTTGGTGTTACGATATATTCAATTCCCACTGATCGGGAATCAAACTTCGCTTGAAGAAGAACGTTGAGCAGTTTTTCGCCTTTTAAACAATTCATCGTTGCGGAAGTCTTTATCACTTCTTCATCAAGTACTCTATTCAAATAAAAAACCAAAAATAATGTACGCAAAAATCGCTGTTCTTATCGTCGCCTTCGTTTCCATGACTGGTAAGTATCGCTGAAATGTATAGATTTCAAGATATTTTCGAANCCAGCATACCGAAAACAATTTGACAATGTGGTGAATTCAATGCCGTGCTTGAAACGTTGCATGAACGACGTGCAAAAGAGTGACCTCGAACTGAACATCGTGAAGACTGTCGATTATGCAAACTATTTCTTGAATTTGGACAAAATTTGCAAGTAAGTTCGCAATCATTAAATCGTTTGCAATATTCTTCCTTTCAGTTTCGAACCAACGCTGTTTCATACAGTCAAAAAAGACTAACTCAGCTCGTGCTAAAGTAATAAAAGTTCTGATCTTGAGTGTATCATCACGCGGCTCATTTGGGTTATTTGAAGCGATCCTTGAAACGAGAACAAAAAGCCGTTCCTTTTATTCCGTATTCATGGTTGACCTCAATTGAACACTCCAGATCTGAGATGATGTGCTCAACATTTCAGCATAATCTCAGAAGCAAGAGAATGCATCGAAAACTGTCAAATAGAGTCGAACCCGTTCGCTCTCCGTTCCATGACAATAATGTGCACACCAGCGATTCTAGAACGTAAGTACTGTTTGTTGTTGCTGATGCTTACATATACGATTTACCGATTAGCAAACTTCGAAAACGACTTTCATCACTTGCTCCAAATGATATTTCATCGTATTCTAACCAATTTCTTGAAAGCACAAAATTTCAGAGACCAAAAAATACACTCAATGCATGAAAGAGGAAGGTGAAACCGTGAAATCAGTGTGTGAACGTCAGTGTGGAGACATCAATGAAGTGAACGAGAAAATTGATACAGCGACAAAACAATTGAATTCCGAGAATAAACCAAACAAAGAGAAATTCAATGAAATCATGCTAAACACAAACAAAGCTTGCGGGTAAGCAATCTAGCGAATAGTTGCTCTATCATGACCATTCTAAACGATCTTGTGAGTGGAAAAAATGAAATGTTGCAAGTGTGAACGAATTAAGGTCATAATTTGAGGTAAAATTGAGTCAAGTGAACATAGCTTCGGGTATAGCCACCTCAGATTTTTATGTTTTGCAAGTCCCTTGAAATAGGATCTAAGAAAGTGTTTCTGGTGCAGTGGATATTTGAGGTGGTAGTAATGGAGGGCAATTTCAGAATGACGAAATGCTATGCACGCTGCAGTCGTAATAATTTCGCAAGTGCTTGCCACCATTTAGGCCAAGAGGAAGTCGGTGAATTTCTGTTCGCGTTTGTTGACGCTGTTAATGATGCGATGGTGCAGGATATCGAGGTGAACATTTGTCTGCATCTTATGAAATGTGAATTCAGATATTGAAATTATCAATGTTAGTTCACAAAATAACCGTAGCCCCGTTGACATCGCATAGAGAACAAACTTCAGTTATACACTCAGTCATCAATTCTAATTTAACGAAACTGTTTGATTTAAGGAGCAAAAATTGTTGGAAACAATGTCAAAATCATCACCACCACAGTGCAATTACATGTATGCTCGTGGTGTTTTATTCGATAAGGTTGCTGATGACGCTATGCTTCGTAGTATTGTCGCTAAAATCAGACATCCTAACCAAGCCATCAGCAAATCATCATCAATTCCTGGTTTGTTTTTTAACATACATTCGCAGCAATCTTCGTGAATTCTCTCGAAATTTTTGCATTCAGTGATCTTCGCTTGTAGTCAAGTGCAAAGAAATCACGTCTCGCGAGCTCATTTTGAGATTCAATGTCGAGCCATCTGGATATCAAATAGTTGCGAAGCAGCAACAGCAAATTAATGAGAGATTTTGAATTGCAGAAAGAGACGACGAACTGAAAGAGTTGCAACGACAGGTATTGCTGAAAGAAATGAACGTTTTGGAAAAACATGAGCGATTGTTGGAGAAAGAATCGTATAAGCTGGATATGGATCTCGCTTTGACCGCTAACAATAACAACTTCTAAGCAACTGAACCAAAAGGCATCGTCAAGATCGAGCGACCACATTGATTCAGTCCATGAGCGCGATTCCGCTCGCTGCATGTTTTTCATCGAGAACCACCTGATCAGAACAAATAAATTCATTCTTCATTCCAATTCATTCCTAGCAATCTCATACAGCTGCAATCTCATTTTCGTTCTCTTTACATTCGTTGTTTCGTGATTCTTCGACTGTAACGAATGAATTCCGTCGTCGTCTTGTACAATAATAATGATTTTTAGCATGCAGTCGTTCATTCGTTTTTTTAGATTGATGCATTCATTCTATTCTATTCGTCATCTTAGCGTTAGATGCCTCTCAAGAAAAGGCAGGAAACGGCTGAAATTGATATTTTTCGCCGATGTACTTCCATCAATGTGTGGAAAAATACGAACTTGATTTGAATGCTTCAAGCCTTCTTCTGTATTTATTTGATACTGAATAATGTTTATTTGACCTGAGTTCTTTATGAATGCTGTTGTTGCTTCAGTTTGTTCCAGTTACACTGTTCGTTGTATAGTGACTGTAATTGTTCGTTTTGCTTTAACTTTTGAAATATAGTGTCACATTCGGTACAAATGTAGAGAAAAAGAATGTGTTGGAATAAAACTGAAACACGAATTTTAGAGGCTACAGCGTGTTGGAAAATAGTGAACGTCAAATGCGAGAACATTTCAACGAACCCTCACACAACTACTGAATTGTGTTAAGGAAGTTTATTCGCACGGTGTTTGCTGTTCTGAATCTCTGCAGAGAGACTCGGTGTTATTCGGCCATCAACAGCAGCAACATGTTGAGTGAAGAATCTTGAATGATTTATTATTCGCCAAAGCATTTTTTGATCACATCGAACCGTATACAGCCACCAAAGTATCGCAAAGGTGTGAATAAAAGTGCATTTTCTGGAGGCAGTAATTAAACATCACTATGGAATTGAATCGCTAGGCGACACACGGTAACCTTCTCTAGGAGATGCGTGCGACGAAACCCTCGAAAATAGAAATATATTATGATGAAACAGTTGTTGGACATCATCGCTGACAAAAAATACGACAGAGGAATTAATACGCAGGAGTTGAACGATGTGAGTTGCTGACAGAGTGTAAAATGTTTCTGGCAATAATGTGGGAATCTCTCGTCTAACATCAGTACAACTGTTGAATATGCGGTGAATCAACTGACAGCGGGAACAATTTTGAAAAATGAAAATGACTGAAACTTAAAAATAGAAATCCGCCAGTAGGACACAACGTTGACTTTTTCAATTGATTCTGTATTATATAAATTCATTTGTTTTCCTCGCTAAGATATGAATATCAGACGAAATTATTAGTCACTGCGATTCTCGAGGGCATCAACACGCGAGTTGATTTGATAAAGATTTGCGGCCAGAAGCTGAATAGCCGGTGGTACATAAGGTTCGATGCCGTTCATTTGCTCCATTGATGTCAGATCTTCTTGAATGGCCGAATTGAAATCTGAGAAACTCAACTGGTCGAAACCACTTGCCGAGGAATCTGAATCGTTTCACTCTGTATATCAGTGAAGATGGCAAAGTTAAGCATCGTCACCTTTGACGTAACATTATTCTTATGCTCATTTCACTCTGCGAAGTATTTCCACAAAAATTTGCTAAAACCGAAACACAATCAATTTTGAATACGTTTTGGGTGGAGTTTGTTGTTTCATTTGAAAATTCCTGACTGTATCGTCT